ATACTCGGGGCTGATTAATGAACTTAAATACTTCAAATGCTACCTCAAATCTCATCTTTACCTGATCCTCATAAATGCTAGATCTGTTCTAGATAAACTGCCAATGCTCAGAGCACTCACAGTAATATACAAACCCCCTATAATTGTCATCACTGAATCCTGGTGTAATTCGAACATACTGGATGAAGAGGTAACTACACACACTTTCGGTGTGACAGGGAAGGTGGTAAGGGAGGGGGTTGTCTCATGTACTTTCTGAATGCACTTACTGTATCACGGCTAGAAAGTAGTACACTTAACATGCCTGAGACTTTATGGGTTAACTTACACTTAAATAACGCAGTAGTATTAATTGGATGCACCTACAGAGCACCTGGCACCTTTAGTAATTATGAGACCCAACATATTAATACTCTAGAACAATTATCCACCCTCCACTACGACCATAAGATCCTATGTGGAGACTTTAACTTACCAGAAATCAACTGGGATATACCCACAGGCCCAACTAAATTTGATAAGTTCTTAGGCACACTGGATATACTTGGTTGGAAACAGACTGTCACAACCCCTACAAGAGGTAATAACGTACTAGACTTAATCTTCTGCCACAATATAAGTCCCCTTTCTACCCTAGTAGGTTTTGAGTTTTCAGGGAGTGACCACAAAACAGTGATGTGTGCACTGCCACTTCCGTCAAGTAGCAATGCAGCCCATACCCCTACTTCACAACAAATAACTTACAGGAACTACAGTAAGGCAGAGTGGACTCTAGTAAAATCAATGCTAAGATCCTCAGAATGGAGAGAGTACTTCTATACAGATACCCTCTCGAAAGCTCTTGACATCTTTTACTATAACTCCAACACATGCTTAGATGCTGTCATCCCACTTCAAACACTAAAGTTTTCCCCACATAGAAAGTCATTCATAAGGCCAAAGGATCGTAGGAAACTGAAAAGACTGTCAACAAGTTACTTCAGACGACACGACTTTAGTACACTAGGGTCAACACTTAATACTCTTAGCTCCATCTCACAAGCTCATAACTTGCGTATGAGAAATGAAGAATGCACCGCACTATCCAGCACCACCAGAGTAGGAGCTCTCACAGAAATCCTAAAGAAACGAATGAATCGCCAAAGTCATAAAATTTCTCTCCTTATAAACAAGGGTGAACTATACAGCAACCATGCAGACATGTGTGAACTGTCCAACGAGATGTTTGCAGCTAACTTCCTTAAGCCCACAAGTCCACTTCTCGGTTTACAATCTACAATAGAACTCCCTTCTTCTTCAACGCTGAAACAAATCAGCACAGTTCATTTCACTTATTCTAATATTAACCAAGCCATTAATACTCTCAAAAGCTCTAGTAGTGCTGGTTTTCACGGTATACCATCGTATCTTTATAAACACGATGGTTCTGACATTTCCGTTTTATTACTTAAGATCTTTACAATGTCTCTAGAAAGCCAAACCTATCCAGATAAATGGAAAACCACATTTGTAGAACCTAAACACAAATTCGGATCGAAAACTGAAGTCAACAACTATAGGCCAATCAATATTACACCCATAGTATCTAGAATCATTGAAAGAATATTCAAAGATGATATTCTCAAACATATGCTCAGTTGCAATATTCTAAGTCCCAACCAACATGGATTCCTAAAATCCAGATCATGCATGACATGTCACCTTGACTTCTTTAACTATATAACTAGCAGCCGAGACAAACAACAACTAGTACTAGTCATCTACTTTGACATATCCAAAGCCTTTGACCGCGTTGACCATTTGCTTCTAATCAATAAGCTGAACTCCTTAGGAATACGTAACCCATTATTAGGATGGATTGAATCATTCCCTAACAATAGGTCCCAAGTAGTTAAACTGGGGTCTGTAAATTCTAAGCCTAGTCCAGTCACTTCTGGAGTAGTTCAAGGTAGCGTCTTAGGCCCCCTCCTATTCACTCTATATGTCAACGACATATGCAGCTGTTTCTCACTTGGCAAACCATTCATCCTTGAAGATGATCTTAAAGTGGCTTACACATTCCACTGTGATGACTTAGGATACTCTCAGAAAGCTGCTCAGGAATAACTAGATCGAGTAACTGCATGGTCCTCCACATGGAACCTTAAATTCAACCTTAACAAATGTGGTTGGATCTGTTTCGGTGCACCCTCAATAAATATCAAACTGGTACTTGAATCTATTAACTTGCCTAAACTCCAAAGTGTTGTTGGCCTAGGAGTCAGGTACTCTAGTAACCTGACATTTTCTGAGCAAGTGGCGACAAAGACGCGTAAATCGAGGATGCTCCTAGGATGCATACTCAGGAATTTCCACAACTACGAGGCGAAATTATTATTATATAAAACTTGTGTCAGACCACTACTTGAATATTGTCCATTTATTCTCAGCAGCACTCGCGTGAGTGACAAACTTAAAATAGAAAGTGTCCAACGATACTTCACGTCTAAGCTACTAGGATTTGACTGCGAAAAGGACTACACATCAAGGTGTATAACTCTAGGTATCGACCCACTCTGGATGAGACGACTCAGCATTAACCTAACATTCTTCTTTGAAGTCTTGCATGAAATATCATTCTCAGACAGTAAGGAGATACAGTTCTCACCGGAAGGCTCTTACAACCCTCGTAACCAAACGTGCACAGTATCTAGGAAAAACTGTAAGACAGCACTCCGTGGAAACTTTTTCATAGTCATGTACTCTAAGATCTGGAACAATTTACCCCTAGAAATAAGGACCTGTGACTCTATTATAACCTTCAAACGCTTGCTATATAAACTGTTTCATCCAAATGACTATGCCATTCACACCGCACCACTTATTTCTAAAACGCATGAGCTATTAGAACACTATAACGCCTAGACTCATTACTAAATATTATGACACTAAATAAACTCTAAGACTTCGCAAAAACACATGAAAAAACAACTAGATTATGGGTAATGTTTACTATACAATGATGTACATTTATAAACATTTATATATACACAAAATATCAATGTTCTTTCCATGTTCACATACTTTCTCTTTCTGGGATTATATTACTAAGCCTGCACTCCTATATACCTCTTGGTCGAGGTCGAACAACCCAACATTTAAACTGGAATGACTATTTAAGTAAATTCAAACTCAAATTCCATGAACGATCCGATGCTACCATTTGAAAACGCTGGCCAACATTCTGTACAAGGAGTATTCTTGATCTGAAATAAAGAAGCAACTGGTTTTCAAACAGTTTTCAATGTATTACTCAACTTACATGTACAGTCTGCCATGCTGACACAAATGGCGCCAATGAATAGTTCTAGAATCGACCTCGGCCCCATTTGATGCAGTAAAACAATCCAACATGACCTTATCTAGTTTTCGTATCCACGATCAAATTTCTTTCCTATTATAAATTTATGTAATGTTAATAATACTTATCCATGCCTGTACAAATGGTGTGTCCCACATAGATAGGAATAAATATATATTATATTACCTTGTCTAAATATCCACTTGTGTCAAAAATAGTGACTGATGCAATCGCACATTGACATAAACTTCTATTAAGTCCTACTGTGTTAACTCTTTAATGATTGTATCAGTAGTTATATTCATGTATACATCCTGTGAACCCTTGTTTTCGTTTATTTTAGCTACTCTGTAATTCCGGTGTCCTCGTGGGATTCGTTGTTGAAGAAAGTGGTTTCCAGAATCGTTGATTTTGTACATTGTGTTGAATCACTAAAAAATAATAATAATGTATATTTTCATTTAAACATAAATTTACCTGAAAATGCATACCATTTTTACAGGCACGATCAAGTATGATTCAATGTCAAATAATAGATTGTCTAGGAGTTAATAATGTTTCAACAGCTAAATATTTGATATATATAAATACACTCATTGTCTGACCCAGGCCGTATCATTATTGAATTGAACAGTAGTCCTCCAGGTTGCGCAGGAAAATCGACTTCGTTTCGTTTTCAACCCGTGTTTGTAGGCATACGATAACCAACCAATACTGAGGTAAGTACAATGTTTACAAGGAATAGTAAGCTTATTTAGAAAATTAGAGGTGCTAAGGAGAATCATTAAAGTGTTATGAAATAAGTGAGTGCAATGTATCATTAATAAATGCATTCGCAAAGGAAATACAATGCAAGACTATAATCCCTAGGCTGACAAAGTTCATTTGCAATGTATAATGTTACCTATATAGGTCTTACTATCATGATGTCCAATTTTGGTATTAATAATAATAATAACAGTATATTCTCATTTTGTACATGAGGGACGCCAGTTTACAGGCATCATCAATATGATAAATTACATATACGATTAGTAAACATATTTAATAATAGTAATTTAATAAAATACATTTTTTCCTACCTGTGTAGGACACACCAATTGTACAGGCATGGATAAGTATTATTTAAATTACATAAATTTGGTTCATGGTAAAATTATAAGGTTGCAGTCATTTTTTCTATGGGAACAATATGATAACTAGTCATTCAATGGAGCACATCAAGAAATATAGAAATATTGTCTTCGCATTAACAAAAAAACCCAAGTATGTTTTGGATGGATTACAAATACTTGGGAAAAAATAAAGCTTGAAGTAATTCTTCCATATAACTTTGGTGTGTACGGCATCGAGTCTTATTCTTGATTTATATCCAAATTGGATAATAATTTAAAATAAGTAATACACTTGTATACTTTTTTCAGCATTTTCTTCGTAACATCACAAGTGAATAGTACTCAAGGTAGACTAATAATAATGACAGTTTATATTTTCTTATAAACGGGTGTTTTCAAGAAATGCAAGCTATTTTTGCAGACAAGATCAGTTATGTTGTAAGTTACAATCGTGAAGTATTATAAATCAATACTTTTCTATTGGTATAAAGGTATATTTCACAACTGTAATCCAGGGTGCGTCGTTGGTGAAGGCAATGCGCAATTCACGAGGGAATTGTGAGATATAGGGCCAATAATGTTTGCAGATCATTTGTCATTGTAAATGGGCAAATATCTTCATTCTCATTCAAAAAGTCAAATGGAAGCTGAAATGGTGAGAGACAAAAGAAGACAAACAACAACAACGCAAAAGCAAGCAAGTGGAGTACTTAGGGAGTGATGAATATGTATATATACATTTATATTCTGTTTAGTAATGATAGTTATTTTGGTGCACTAACTAACTATTCCCGTGATGCTAACTTTTGTATTGTGTGAACTAATATTATTGTCCTGTGTAAAAATGTCTATCATGTACTTCCAATAATATAAAAATTTATAATTGTAGTTTGTTGTAACTACACGTTTAGTGAACTTAAAATATCTATGTTGGACGAAAAAGTGGGTGTAGGATTCAGATGCAGAAGTGCACTGTCATCTTTGAGCAGTCTGGTGACTGAGGAGATAAACACTGCGAGTGTGTTTGCATCGCGCACATCAGCTGGTAGTCTATTCCGAATGACTGAAAACTTATTTAAGAAGAAATTATACCGCATGTAAGTCTGACAATGCTCTATAGCAACTAGGTTGTGATGATTTCTAAGATTGTAACTGATGACAGCGGTAGGTTTAATTATTGGCTCGGAGGAGTGCACGAGTAGATTAGTTAGCTTGTAGTAAAAAATCAGGTTTAGCTTAAGACGTCTTTTCCAGAGTGGTTCTAAACTTAGTCTGTCGCAACGTTCATAGTATTGGAGACCACTTTCTAAACCAAGAATTCTTAAGGTGAATTGCCGTTGCACTCCTTCTAACTTAAGCTTGTCAATTTGTCTGAGTCCGCTAAGAATAAACGGGCAGTATTCTAAAATAGGTCGGACACATACTTTATATAATAAAACCCTAGCTTCACAACAAAAGAAATTGCGATTTATGCATCCTAGGAGCCTTCGTGTTTTACGTCTGGCATAATCAGTTTGTTCAGAGAACGTTAGGTTACTGGAGTATCTGATACCGAGATCTACGACTGAGTTGAGCTTGGCTAGTTTACGCCCATTTATTTCAAGATTCAGGTCAAGGTTACTGTTTCCGATACAAATCCAGCCGCATTTATCAATGTTGAACTTTAGACAGGATTCAGTACACCATGTTGTGAGACCACTTAGTTCAAGATGTATTTTAGTTACCATATCGCTTAGTTCATGAGCGTAGCAGGAGTAAACGACTTTGAGGTCGTCAGCATATAGGAATGATTTACCTGAGGTGAAGCAGTTGCAAATGCTGTTAATGTATACTGTAAATAAAAGTGGACCTAGGACACTACCTTGCACAACCCCACTTGTGATCTGCCTAGGATGAGACAATACAGATCCAACCTTGGTTATTTGTACCCTATTGCTTAGAAACGATTTTAACCAGCTCAGTAATGGATTGCGAATCCCACACGAATACAGCTTCGCGACTACTAGTGATGCAGTTGAAAAAGTCGAAGTGGCAAGTAACGCAAGACCTATTTTTGAGAAATCCGTGTTGAGACCTTGTAACAAGATCTTCCTTAAGTAGATAGTCTGACAACTGATCTTTGACGACTTTCTCCATGACTCGCGAGACAACTGGGGTTATATTTATAGGTCTGTAATTGCGGACGTTTGCCTTATCACCGGATTTATAGTGTGGAATTATGAAGCTAGTTTTCCACTCATTAGGGTAAGTGCCAGTGTCCATAGATATTGAGAAGAATTTAAGAAGCAGTAGGGGTATATCACACCCACTCTTTTGGAAATTATAGAAGCAAGGCCATCTGGTCCCGTGCTAGTGGAAGGTTTCAGGCTTTTAACTGCCTGTTCTATTAATTGGTCGGTGAACCCTATGCTTCCGAGGAAAGAGCTAGTAAGGGGGCCGGTTTCACCAGGAATGCGCGTTTCTAAACTGAAGTTTGCAAACCATTCACTGAATATTTCACAGATGGTGGCAGGCACATTGTAGATAACTTTGTCATGAAGTAAATAGGGGATGTCCCTCGTCGACTGCATTCGTTTTTTAAGAAGTGTTGTTAAGTTATAAACTTTGGAGGTACTTTCAAGTGCCCTTAATTCTTCGTCGAGGTCCTTTTGAGAGCGTTGGCGCTTGATAGATTCAAGAGACTCATGGATTGAGTGCAGTAGTGATATATCCTTAGTGGAATAGTACTGTTTCTTCAACTTCCTTAACTTAATGCGGCATGCCCTCGGAATGTATTCAGCTTGGTGTCTACTTAATTTCACTACTCTCTTAGGAGCAACAGTATCTAGACAAAGGATAACATTCCTGTAAAATAGGGACACTACAGTCTCCAGGGAGTCAGTGGTAAAATATTCATCCCAGTGACAGAGTCGAATGAGTTCTTGGACTAATCCCCAGTCTGTATGTTTGTAACTACGACAAATCAAGCTCCCTGAATCCTGTTTGTTTCCTGTATTTAGTGGTGAGAAAGGCAGAGAGCAGAGCACCATTCTATGGTCACTACTGGAAAATCTGTTACCAACATAGGTGGAGACTGGGACTGTGTCATGACAAAACACAAGGTCCAACATGTTGTCACCACGAGTAGGTGTCTGGACGTGTTGCTGCCATCCATAACAATCGATAGTGGCAAGTAATTCGTCGAAGCGTTGGGGGCCGGAACTACTTAACCAATTGACTTCTGGAAGATTGAAGTCCCCTGCAATTATTTTGTAATTAGTACTAAATGATGAGGCGTGTGCGAATGATTTAGCTAATAACGCATCAGTTTCTTTGGTTGAGCTTGGTGCTCGATAAACACAGCCTATGAGAAGCTTGTACTTATCTCCTTGTAAGACGACCCAGAGTGAATCAGGTACCTCGTTCAGTATTTCATCTTCCACCTTACTGGCTACGAATGAGTTATGTATATATATATGAGACATCCTCCACCACGCTTGCAGTCTCTATTTGCACGGTGTACAGTGTAATCATCTATGCCTATATGCACATCAAGTACAGAGTATGAGCACCATGATTCAGTAATCAGAGCTACAGTAGGCTTGGCGATAAATAATAATGCCCTTAGTTCAGATATCTTATTGATTAAGGAACGTGCATTAATTAGCAATATCGTGGATAAGTCACGGGATGCTACAAACTGGCTTAAGATATCACCATAACCTAACTCTGTTTGTGCGTCAACAACGCAAGAGTTTATGAATGATACGGGGGTCGGACTGGGTGTCTGTACATCGGGGTTAGAGTGCAGTGAGGTGGTCCTAGGTGCCATGGGTCGTACCAGTGATTCGGGACACTTGGAAAATTTACCATTTGTTCCTGGATACAAGGATAGTAGATGTTGGGCCTGGGTTGACGGTTAGAAAGCATAGCATCAAATGGTCTACCCATCCACGTGCTATCCATCATACCGTGGTAAAGAGCCAGTGTTGGTCAGACCAAAACATGGCTTCATCAGTCAATGAAATGCACAACAGTTAGTTTAAGCCACGTAGGAAAATGTAGACTTCCTGGTTGGGGTCCTCAGGACGGTAAACACCAATGGCTTGGGACAATTGGTGATATGGCTGGCTCAAAATCGTTGTCAATGGCTGGCGCAGATGCACCCGCTCCTTGTGACTTATAATTTCCAATAAAACTATATTTTGTTCTTCGATAGTGCTATTCTTTTTGCCTCATATCTCTGTTTACTCTCTGTATTTTGCATTCCTTTTTACTTTCTTCTCTTGCTTTGTGTGGTACATGGAGTATGGCGACTCGAACTGCTGCATATCGGTGCAAAGTTCTATGTTGAAACCAGTCAGTCATCACACACCATCTGGTTATCTTTCAATAAATGCATAGAAATAACTAATTTCTTAAAGACTACTAATCTTGACACCGGTTGGAATCTCAGAAGGGGCATAAGTTCCACCAAGGTTGCAGAAGTGCGTCGGTGGCACAGCGTTAGGACGCTCGCCGACCATGCACATGGTCCGGGGTTCGATCCCCGGCCGATGCACTCCTTTACCTCTCTAAGCGAGTAATGTGACTGGTAAAGAAGGAAGGTTGGGCATGAGGCTAGCAACCCCATCCTGTAAAAAATAAACACTGCTACAGAAACTTCAAGCCTCTAGCTTGAAGCCGTATGTTTCACTGGGAACGTGAAGGAAAATAAGGTTGCAGATACTCCTTGTCGACGACTCCCAACAACCATGAAGCCTAGGTCCAAGGTTTCTCTAATCGATTGCCTCCAACGATCTAATACTACTAAATCTTATTAGTCTTTCATTCTAAAATCCGATGAACTTTTATGATCTGATAACCTAACTGCTCATATTGGCAGCCAAGTTAAACTTTAGGCACCAGTAAGTAGCAGTGGAGTGCGGCCGTACCAATGACCTTGAAACTTTCGGTGGGCAAGTTAGTGAGACCTGGTAAATAATATTGTAATCGTGGATAAAATATGCTTAACGGAGCGTTATTTTGTTAAGTGGGATATCTGGGAAGTTTCAGGTTAGGTTTGGAAAAGATGAAGTTAAGATTTAGGCTAAGGACAGGTCAGGATTAAGTTAACCTAATGAGGGCGATATTCGGGTTGGTTCGAGTTAGTTTAGGGATATTATTATATTAGGGTTAGGTCAAGGAAAAACTAGGGTTAGAAGACCTAGATAATCACACGCATAGAATGTGGTCAAATTACTCTGTTGATGCTCCAATCCAAAACTGAGAGATATTTTTTGTCATATGTCAGAGAAGGGTATCCTGTGTAACAGTTTCATTCCTTTTAACTCATCATTTTCACGAATATACGTATTTTAAACGCAAAAATCGCCTTTATCATGTGGTTGGTTCGTTTAAGGTCACTTGTCTGTTGGTACTTACTGGTGCTTAAAGTTAAACTTTGCCATATCGACTAGTCCGTTATGAGTTTTGCACAAGGTTTAATGTAATATTAAAATGTACACACTGACAAATTCATACAATTCTTTCCATTAATAAACTTGAACAAAGCGAGAACGATAAATGTACCAGGATAATATGAGTTCATATTCTACTATTTCAAGGATTCTTCTCAACTACCTACAAGTTGAACAATGCAAGGAAAAATATAAATTACATAACACTTTTGAACATACTTTTTCCACGATGACAAGAAGTAATTCATAGGAACTTAGATTAACATAAGTTTGGAATGATGTAAGTTGTTAAATTATTAAGAGTTAAAAGGATTGAGTATTTGTAACATAATTAGACCAGTACTCTTGAGAATAGAGATCAAATTTGTTTTAGGTAGAAACGAAGTTCAACTGGAAAGAGTATGACAACATAATAGGTTATGTAACTACAGGAAATACTTCTAAAAATGGTAAAAAATAGGGGTAGGGTGAGTAATCTTCAGATGAAACAATAACACTTTCTAAACAAGACAGATGATACAAGGAAATACATGACGGAATAAAATTTTATATTTTGCTGTGTAAATTTAATCAACAAGGCAGTGCAGGATTCAACACTGTCTTTTTCTGCGTGCATAGATTTGGATTTAATTGATTGACGGCGATTGACTCAGGGAAAAAAGTAGCAATGTAGGTTTCTTCTACTTGATGATTTATATAGAACGCCTTTACCTCGCTGAGCCAGAAATAATGCTGGTGAAGAGGAAAGGTTGGGCATGATGCTAGCAACCCCATCCTGTAAAATAAACACTGCTACAGAAACTGCAAGCCACTAGCTTGAAGCTCTACGTTCCACTGGGGAACGTGAAGGAAAAAAAAAGTTCCTGTCAATTACTCCTTATCATAGTGGAAAACACATATTCAAATGTATAATGTAATTTATACTGTTTATTTTTCATTGTTCAAGTTGTAGCCAGTTGAGAAGAATCCTTGAAATAATAGAAGATGAGCTTGTATTATTCTGGTACATTTGTTTGTTCACACTGTATTCAAGCATACACTCAAATTTATGTAAGTAACGAAAATAATACACTAACCTCTTGTGTGACACTACAGTTTTTTAAATCAATACACATCCGTGAAATTTGTAGACGATGTGCGTGTCTTTGTGCTCTTAACTCAGCTACACGCTGAGCGATTCTCTCACGAACTTCAGGACTTAACCACGCAGCTGATCCAGCACCACCCTCCGTTGCAAAATAATCTAACTCATCATCAATCACTCTGGTTCGTTTAGCACAAGTAGAATCAAACTCCAATAGTTTATCACGATTGCATAAAGCATTTATCAAGCCTGAAAATTATAAATAACACAATAAGGTTATAATAATAATAGAGATACAGAATGAGAATACTGGTGATCTGTGCAATAGGGAATTTCATCTTAACACAGACCAGTCAACCAGAAAATCATGTTGCCAGTAATTATTTCTCAGTCTACCACGTTTAAACATAACTTAAGTCGTTTATATTTGTGAAAACTAAAATTACGAATAGATAACTATCAGCAACACCAAACCAACAAATGCATCTGCTATTAAGTCTCCTTCGCCATGTAAAAGGACCATTAGTCCGAATTACTTTTTAACTAATTCGTTTAAAGTATATTTGAGCGTTTTTTCGCTCATTCACCTGCGTTCTGTTACGAGAGAGAATATAGCTACACATACAGTGATGTACATTCACTGTATCGAGTTATATGACTACAATCCTACCATGACTGTCACTGGTCTTCTACGCTAGTTTTATAGATTTGAGACAATGTTAAGTCAATGTTTAATGAACAGAATGCAAACTAACAAGCTACTGTACGATACTGATAATTATGGTAATATTCGGTCTCAAGAGTAGGTGAGGTGGAAATTGAATATGAAATCTGCTGATGAAAAGTCGAATACTTAGACAGGTGGACAGCAATCCTTTTAATTTACATTATGATTTAAAGAAACTGCATTTCTGTTACGTCGGTTTATTTGTTCAGAATCGAAATGATTACTTTGAAAAATGGGATTCTAAAAAGAAAGTTGAATAACTGAACGAAGATTATTCGAGAAATGGCTCGTTATTTTTTTCGGCGGCTGGATAGGGGAGTTTATCCTAGTTTGACCAAATATATTTTACGTAACCAAATAACTTGCCTTGCTCTAAACGCATTTGAGCTCCGGAAACTGGCTTCGTAATTATATCTTCGTCATCGGTAGAGTCTTCATGTTCAGTATTTGAAGTAACCTCTGTCGATGTAAATTCAGTATTCACTTCCTTTTTCTGCAGTTTCTGAGCTTGGCGGGCAATTCGATAATATGGAGTTTCAGTACCAGCAGCCCAACCTACTTGCATAAGTTTATTTCTCAACTTTTCACTTTGTTTAGTATTCATTGCTATCTGATCTTGTTCTTCTCGTGTACATACAAGATTTCCACAATAATAGCATGGACCTGAACCCTCTTGTGCACAGACAATACGACCACAATTGACACAGTTATTTACTAACTGATGCTTAGTTGCTAAACACTGGCAAGGATGTCTACCAGGAAACAAGGAAACAAGTTGGTCACTATGAGCTCCTTCACAAAATAATGGATAAAATTTAGTTTTCTGTTTTTTCTTCGACACATTCTGTGATCGTACAGATGATGGTTGTTCTGTATCATTCTACATAACAATGAAAGAAAGGAAAAAAACGTTTGCAACGGTATTTAAAAGATATCAACTCATGGATGAATACAACTTTAGAAGCATAATTTCAGATGAATAATCTAATTATTGAGGTGGATAAAAACAGAAGGGTACAAAAAATCGACAAATAAAGAAAGAATAAGTTCATTAAACTTAACGCCCTCAACAGCATGTGGATAACAAAATCTCACTGCCTATGGTAACTGATTTGTTTAAATAGGAAATTACTGAAAACGTGAATTTAGCATCTACAGTAAGAGCAGTATTCATTAAGATGAGACTGAATAGTCAGCGATTTTCTGCACTCCTCTTCTTGAACAATAAAAAGAGAGAGAGGTTTTTCCTTCAAATTATGATAATGCTCACCAGATATATTTAGCCCAAGTAAAGGTGCTGAATTTGGTTGGTAATTTTTCAGAATGAACTAATCATACAGTAGTTTCGTCTAAAAATAACAGAATCTCTAGATCGAGAAATCACTCAATAGATTATCCTTCTTCCTATAGATACCTCAGTAGTACGTGATAAGCGTATTGTGCATGATTATAAGTTCCGAATGTATTTACAGATAGTCTGTCATTTAGATTCGTGCATTTGGATTACCTCTGGGAGTCTCTCTTGTAGATTAGCTTACTAAGAAGGACTGAGTATGGCTACTAAAGTATACATAGGGGTGAAATATGTTTAGTAACGAAGCGACGAGCTTATTTATAGCAATGATACAAATAGTTTTTTTCTTCAAATAACATTGTAATGTTTACCTCAATCGTAACAGGACAAAAAAGTTAAGTGTAGTGTAATTCAACCTGACATCAATGTATAGATTTGTATGGTGTATGCATCTAGTGGTTTACACTTGATGTGTAGTGATATTACCTGATTTCCAAATCTGACTAGTTGTAGAAGACTTACGACTCACAATGATCTGGCTTAAAGCTAAGTGCTTACACCAATGCGCTGTTTCCAATTCACATCAGTTCATTGGATAATCAAAAGTTAAAAAAATTATTGAGTAAAATCGAAATGGAGACTTGTTTGGATGTATTATTGTTAAGCTTTCTGAAACTGTGAGTATATTTTCAAATACGGACATACCTTTTTTGAAATCGAGATTTCATCTAAACAGTCACTTGGAGCGTTAGGGTTTGAATTAGTTTTACGATATCTCTGTAAGGCAGAAAAAACAACACATTGAAAGATACTATGCATATGTAGAAACTGTTAGTCATTATTGGAGGTTAGCGACAATAATTCAGGCAAAAGTGATCTCATATTGCTATGGCTGCATTGAACTAGGTTTTTAACGTTGGATTTTGTACCAAGGTGAAGCAGTTTAAGTTGCCACATTTTACGCCCTTATTTTCCAAACGAAACGTAGGGCTTCAAACTTGAGCTTTGGAGTTTCATTAGCAATGGTAATTTCTTTTACGGCGTGAAGTTGCTAGCCTTGCGTCCAACCACCCCTCTTCACCAGGCATACTACCGGATAAACGAGGTTTAGGATAGCATCGGCCGGGGACCGAACCCAAGGCACCGTACGTGGTTGGCGAGTATTCTACCATCCAGTCACCAATGCAAAAAAACATACACAGTCAGGAAAATAAGAAACGTAGAGGAACTATAATAAACGGAAACGTATGGGAGAAAGATTAATGAGGATTTAATGGATGTGGGGAATCACAAAGAGTGAATACATTTGCGCCATTGAAAATGATTTTAAACAATACCAACAACAATCTCAAACCATTTCTTTCTTAGCATCTTGAGGACCCCAACCACGTTGTTTACACCTCCTCCTACATGGCACAAACCAACACTCAAAGACCTCATGAATTGATATCATGCTCTCGTTCAACCACCCCTAGCTTTTTCTAATCTAATCCCATGTCACTTAACATTGTTTGATAACAAAGGTGGCGTCTCAGTACGAGTAATACATGCCTTAAACATCCCAATCACCGTAGCTTCACGAATCCATAGACTGACTTCCCTTCCTCATCTACTACTTAATGCTTAGCCCTAACCTTACCATTCTTAACTATATTATTGTCAAATATTGTTGCGTCATATAAGAGGGATTAAGGTTCCTCCTAAATACGAATTACTTCGATGTGTGGATATTTTAACTCCGCTGTATATAAGGACTGATTTGATGCACTAAAGGAGTTTTCATTCCCAAAATTTAAAACAATTAATGTAATACATTTGGTTGGCATTATTATAAGATGTTTCATCTAGAAAATATGTATTTGCGCAATGCACTTCTAACCATCTGATCGCACATTTACTTGTTAATTATTATCCTTCTTATTCTTAAGTCACCAGTTTATTTATTCTAACTGGCTATTACATTTTTCACATGAATTGAATTGACATGTAAATGTATGATCACGTTGTTCAAAGTGTATTGCGCAAACACATTATATTTCTTTAAATAAACTTCATCTGATAGTGTTACCCAAATTGATGCATTAAATCCACGAAGTAAGCTTTTAAACTCTATAGATTCTTGGTTGAAGATAATTGTTTTGTATGAAGACCTAATATTGGAATTTATTTAGCAGTTATACCAACAAGAACCATTGCTAAGAAGATAGGAAAAAAGTGGAGTGTGAAAAGTTGTTGGCAGTTACTATTTCCCATGGATTACGAGAAAAGTACTTGAACAGTTCATCTGATTATATTCTACCCCAGAGACTACGTTATATGAATACAAAGCAGACCCACTCAAACCATATCGAGCATTTGATTATTTTCAAGCATTACAAGATCACAGTTATTCTACACAGTACATTAACTACGAACAGGTGTAATAAGCTTTTAAAAAAAGGCCTGATAAGTGAATAGCAAGCTGCTAAATATTGGGATCGAATGAGACTTAAATTTATGACTTATTGGCTCAAAATTAAGTGCCTACATAAATGAGACACTCTAAGAGCTAAGATGCTATACGACCGTCTTGGTGACCACCTGGTATTCACATAAAAAACTTTGAACAACTGACATGGCAGTACTATATCAAGGTGTACTTCAAAAGACAAACAAGTGAACTGAGTAAAAGGACACAATGAAATGAGATAAAAGGGACTAAATGACAGTAGGTAAATATGGATGAAAAGTAACGGTCTAGGCCTATTAGGTGTTATTATAATGTACTTAAGGTTGAATCATGCATGAATCAAGCCGTTTCCTTACACAGAACATACCAAAGAATATATACCGAAAAAATCCTTACCAGCTGACAGAATAGTAATGTATACGAAGTTTTACTGTGCTTTATATACGTTGAAACTATCCAAGGGAGTGTAAGCCTTTTTACTCCTTTTCGTTCCCAGTGGAACATAGGGCTTGAAGCTTGAGCTTCGAAGTTACTGTAGCAGTGGTGTTTATTTTTACGTGGTGGGGTTGCTAGACTCATGCCCAACCTTTCCCCTTTGCCGGTCGTATTACCGGCTTAGTGAGGTAAAGGAGTGCATCAGCTGGGGATCTAACACCGGACTACATGAGTGGTTGGCGATCTATCTATTCTACCGCTAAGCCACCGATGCAAGCTTAAATCACTGTAACAAAGTCTGCCATATTGATACAACAGTTAGTATTTAAGTGTCACCTAAAAACAGGGTGGTCGATACACTTAACAAATACTTGTGATTGTATCACTTTTTACCAAAGATATATGCAAGTGAAAAATTAGAGGAGGAGTGAAGACAAAAATGTACAAGCTGATCAAATAGATATTGGGACTTGTAATACAGTCTCTAAAACGAGGATGGTATGCTATTGATAGGATATGATGCCATCTTCGCTCTCTTCCCTTTACTACATTTTAGATCTACAGTCTTGAGGATTATGAGCTAATACTATAAAACTTCTTTCTTCCCATGACGTTCACGGCCATCGTGATGAATATAACTGAGTTTACCGTTAACCACTGGTATCATTTCTGACCTGTCAATGGAGTTCTGCCGATGTTGTAAAGTAGCATTTATCATTGAGCTGTGATATGACATGTTCTTTAGAGGTGAAATACTTTAACGTACCAATTTAAACGAATTTTGTAATATATAAGTTTAAACACCTCACTCATCTCTATGCCTACAGATCAAATGTCAAAACTATGAGAACTCCATTTTATGTCTTAAGACATTATGCTCAAATACAATACTTAACCGTAACTTTTTTAATATCGGTTTTTGTAGATGATAAGCTGACAGTTGGGAGAATAGAAAGTAACTATTGGATATCTTTCGTCAGTGATTACGATTGGCCTGAAAGAGTAATTAGTATCGACAGATAATTAGGACAAGTAATTCAGAAAAGCATTCCAAGTAACTTTAATGGATGTAAAATCATGATTCTGTATATACGCGCAAAACGTGAAAAATGGAGATTTATACTAACTTCACCGGTGAATCCGCTTCTTCGTATTTTTTCTTGTATTAAAATTTCATAGACTTGGCGATTCTCCGGTTTTCGAGTATCTAATAGGGTAGCTACACGCTTTTTGATAATTTGGGTGTCACCAACTTCCATACAAGCTCTGAATCAAAAAGCAGCAAAGTTTTATAAAAAATTGTAAAATTATTCAGACCTACTTTATAAAGTCATCTGTAGCTTTTTCTCCTAAAGCTTTAGTTAACAGAGATTTGACTTTTTCCATTGTAACCTGTGAGAATAATTACACATTCTGAAATTATTGGATTTACACATTAAGCATTTTATTATTGCACAAATAACACGACTACCGTACTTTTAAAATGTAACTTGTCAACTCTAAGCATGTTTGTGAATTTGGTAATGAGTTATACCACTAAGTTAGGGCTGATGATGCAACTTTTCTACATAATGTCAGTGGCAGTTGCTTGAAAGCTAAATGTCGATATGCATGAGACACATGCTAAAAATGTATCTCTTAAATAAAACTGGGTGAACTCCCATTCACCAAAGTAACATTTTCCTCTGACATGACTTTTAATATGCAAATCGCAATGATAACCGTTCAAAATATTTTGAATTGAGTCTTTTAAGAACTTTCACATTTGTAAGGACTTAATGAGGTGCATACTGTCAGATAAGAAAGGTAATCTACTAAGTGTTTTCAAAGTGAGCAGTTTAAACATCAAATTTTCTTTCAGAAAAACATGCCCACTTGAAAGTTGTTTTCAGTTTCACTTGCTATTTGGTACACCAGATCGAAAGTAGTTAGCGGAATTTACCTCTAAAACTTTGGGAACATCGAGACTTTTCTGTTACATCAAACTCATACTGTATTCAATAAGTACCTGGCGATTAAATCCGGAGATTGTTTTTTTAGCTAATTCCAGCCTAGAACCTCATTCTACATTAAAACTCAAGTTTTTCAGTTAAGCATTTTTAAGAATGCAACATTTACTCACTAAAATAGCACAGACTAATGCCCTGTTATTGCCAATTTTATTTGCTAATATATACTGTATAGATCAGTACGATGAACTCTTTGACACACAACAGAACTTTAGACAGTTTCCCAGAACTTCATTGATGTAGATTTGCCTAGCATGTTCCGAAAAATCAGTTTGGAACAAAATGGTTTCTTTGGAAAAAATAACCGGAAGAACTTAGTTGGAAGTGCCTTGAGATCTAGACAAAAATGGCCTTCAGAGTGAAAAGTTAACTATCACCAGAGGTAAAAGACAAACAGCTGCACAGAGTGTCAGGAATCCGGAAAGAAAAAATACTGGAATTTACGCGCAAACTGATCATATGACCTCAAAAGAGTTTTGAGTCTACTACCTGAAACAGAACCCCCTGAGTTGAATGCGCCAAGTAACGGTTTGTCACTTAACACGGTTCTTCTTTAAAAGCCGTTGGACGGTTAATCGATTAGGTGGGCTGTGAACACTGGTTAAAAATTTAGTGGAATAGTTGAGTTTCACCAACTTTTTAGTGTTTCTATGTTGATAACTAATCTTCTCATAAGCCTGATGCATAGTTACATACTTCACAACGAATCTCATTATATTAGTGTAGTAATGTATATTTGCCTGGACGCACAACCCAAAATCGGAAGGTCAAGTATTCATTGTTGATGAACAGTACATCATTTGGCCACTGCGTTATACTATATTTATGAGTATATTTGAAGTCCTATCTTAACAAAAATAGGAATATACTAGAAGAAAGCAACGGGCCACTAGACTGATATGTGCCATTAACCAATGAAGTCATTAATACAAACGGTCTTCAAAAAGAATGGTTATCCACAAAATTTCATCAAAAAGTGTTTAAAGTCGAATCAAAACACCAACAAGAAACCATCATCTAAGACCACAAGGAAATTCATTCTACCATACATGAGGAATATCTCTGAAATAGCAGCCAGAATACTGAAACCGTTAGATATAAATATAGCACACAAACCAGTAAAATCGCTTAATTCGATATTATGCAAACCAAAAGATCCAACAGAAAAAGGGAATAAAATTAATACCATCTACAAAATAAATTGTATGAACTGTAACAAGCATTACATCGGCCAAAGTGGGCGTCCCCTGCGAATCAGAATCCAAGAACATAAATCAGCCGTAAAAAGACATGATATGTATTCGTTAGTATCAATGCATGCAGACAACTATGGTCATCAGTTTGATTGGGATCACGTCAAAATCTTAAACAGAGGAAATACGAAAAGTGCCAGAGAATTCCTAGAAGCCTGGTACTCAAGCGAAAATGCGATTAACAAACACGGTAATATAGATGAAATATACCAATTAATAAAAAGTAAATCAGGTGACCAAAAAGTTTAAAATCCTAGTCAATAGAAAGTGGTCAGTACATATGTGAAGATAGTAACCAGGAGACGCAATTACATCACGCATGAAGAAATTTAAATCATTTCACTCTGTGCTAAATATGGCGCTGAAGATGTTGTCCGGAAGGACGACGAAAGCTTCGCGACTAAACCAACCAGCTCAGAGAACACTTTTAATTGCAAATCATCCACCTGAGCTACAAATCTTCTCTATTATTTCGAAGTCATTAAGTGTCTAGAGGAATGTGGATTTTCCGTCTGAAGCTTTCGTGACAACTAGGACTTACTGTTGGTGACACTGATTGGTACACGTTGAGAGAAAACACCGGATAGCTAACATACATTATTGCAAAAGAGCACAACGTTATTCTTCAATGGTTTATGTTGCTGTCTCACGTCATCACATTAGGTATTAATTAATGAAAAAGGAGTCAAATACATGGGTACAATGCATGCTAATTTGATTATATAATTGTCTTCAAGCATTCTGGGGTTTTAGGAGCGTCAAATATCCTAACACAATTCAGGTCTTTGAAAAAAGACATGAAGAATTGAGAATCATGTCATAAGATGAAGGAATACAGTATGAGACAATTTTTAATTTTTTTAAAACTTTATTATAGCTTGACTCCATACAGTATTTTTGATACAAGTATGGAATTTTCAGCATGGGATATCAGTAGCGCAAATTTTGCAGGCCAACCATTAATATCGGGTGTGTGTCGGCCGGGGATAAGTGCAAAATGATACGTGGTGAATTGCCTTATCATTTTAATTGCTTATCAGCCATGTCCCTTCATATCTCTAAAAATATACCAGATGTTCCGAATTACTTTCCTCATAATAACATTTTACCTTATACTAAAATGGTGCCAGATGTTGAGCTTTGCATTACACCTTAAGAACACACTAACATTTCTCACGGATGCAGTGTGAGATAAAAAATTTCACAAAGGCGATTAAGTCTTCCATATTCATGCAGAAATACTTCGGGAATTAGTTAACTTACATTGTGAGAGGTGTGATGTGCTAAACCCTTTTTATTTTCACTTTCAGACAATGCGTTGATTTATATGAAAAATGTATCTTACAGCATTAGATTTTGGGATAAGTCAATCAACGTCTGATTATAGTCCTAGTGACTTTAAGGACCAGAGACTATCTGTGTAGGAATTGACCAGCTGACTAATAGATGTTGACATTCACATAAAATCGCATCATTTCAAGTTGACAAGCATCGGGAAAACACACAGAGTTAAGGAAAAGAAACGCAACGAGATCAGAGTGAACAAAGGTGTATGTGAAAGGAAAGATTTTCGGAATCTAGGGAAAGAAAACGAAATGTTACCTAGTAATTAATTGCAATTCCTTGCAGTTGGTAATGAGTCACACTATGAGGGTTACTGATACCACCTGGTTGCCCAATGCGAGGTAGACAGAGAGGGATTCAAACCCGTTACCCTCTGGCTGGAAGTCAAGAGCTTAGACCGATGAATCACAGCCCAAATCAGAATCTGGTTGATGACAATAGCAATTACATATACACTATCGTGAACCATGTGCAGCCAGATCCCCAAGAATCTTCAATCAGTGATTCTGGACAAGTTCGCGACCCCAAACAGACGATCACTATTTCTTTTATGTGGCTCATACCTACAATCTATGACTTTATTGACTGGCACCTTGCTTCGGTCTGGCCTCTTCTACCCCTTTGCTGATCTAATCCTATTTCAGCAAATGGAAGAGAGTAGTGGCACGGCATGACGCTTCCTGAACAACTCGTCGGTGGGGCTTCAAGGCTTAACCGACCCGTTTTTTCCCATGCTTTAAGCTGTAGTACACTTTCCGGTTCCTACCTATTTTTCTAAAAATGGTACCTATTACAGAACTATACACAACCACAGTGCCTATATCATATTCTTACAAAACGCAGATTCCCCCTAGAATCTCGCGCGTTATTGTCTTATCTGACACCAATATATTAGGCTATGAAAAATGACCAAAGTACCCATATATGAATTATAGGGAAAACGCCTTGGACTACAGTGATTAATAAAGTGAGTTCGTTTGTCTCCAAGTTGAGCAACTGATATTCCTTCATGGTTAGTCATGCGTTCTTAACCCTATTTAACCGAAGATATTAGTCAGGCTAACGTCTTCTTAATATGCCCTTTTAATAATGAAGATTATCAAACCTCAGTGGCAAAGTTAAACTTTCGACACCAGTAAAAACCAATCAGCAAACAACCTTGAACGGATCAATCACATGAAAGAGGCGTTTATTATAAGCGGAAACGTATATTTATAGAAAAATGCATAAGAAAATGATAAAACGGCTACAATGGGTATCTCTCCCGAACATGGGAGGAAAACATTTCCCAATTCAGCATGGGACTGTCAATAGAGAAGTCGCACCACATTCTCTACATATATTCATCTAAATGACTATAAATGAGATCCATTTATAGCCCTTATTCTATTTTTCAGTCGACCCCAAAATCCTTCAGTGAAATTTTTATGAGGCATTGTAACTGGATCCCCAAAGTCACTGGAGTAGTTCACTCTGTGATGCATGTATCCCAGGGATGACAAAGAATCATAGCCTTTCCAATCGTCGGTACGTACAATTAATCCCGGTTCCACAAGTCGCTTTATAGTAGGTACCAGAGTAGTCGCCATCCTGTCTGCTATTCTTTCAACAAATACTTTTCGGAGGGACGTGTCGTATGAACCTATCACCCAAATATTGTTCGCTCTCTGACGACCGCGGTTGTATTTCTTCTTCACCAACATTGTCTCATCCACATGGACTACTACGTCGTCCCCGCCTAACAACGAAGTAATTCTGTCCATTCTCCATAAGGTGAGTCTCTGCAGTGCTGGTACCACTGAACTGCTGAGACGAGGCTGTTCTGCGTCTCGGCAGCAGAGGCTCTCACGGGCTGTTTCAGTACCCAGTAATTGCAAATGTACCAAATCTGGGTTAGAGAGAGATGCGACCTAGCAAAAACAGTTCCTAAGAAATATTACCCTCTATAATACTAATTCGCTTACAGCAAATTCCACAACGATGTACAAAACCATCAGTTGACCTAGTATAGCTTTTTAGAGTCATTACACCACCACACGAACAACTTCTCTCCTTTCCAAACAAGCCTGAGTCCAGGAAATACTGAAAGACACTATCCTCCTCGAATTACAAACGTAACATTGTAAGGGCACGCATTGAAATGAGTCAAGCGCAATACAACATTGAACCACGTTCGTGAATCCCATTGGATAATTCCAATATCCAATATCGTTTTTACGAGCTAGTATAAACCAATCTGATTTCTTTGTGCTCGCCTCTTGATTGTGAGGTAGAGGTTCCTGATCTTCGGTAAACGTCTGCGTAGCTCATCCCGCCACTCGACTGCCGTAGCTTTGGTTGGCTCCGAAAGGAGTAGTGCAGGGATTAATTTTATGTGCTTTGTAGTATGAGGTGTGTTAAGACTGTTACTACTGTGAATGGAGTTGATCCTTTCACCAGTTGGTCCTTCGGTATCGTCGTCAATAGAAAAGAGATAATAATAATAGATATAATTAGTGAAGTTATTCAGACTAACAGACAGAAAAAGAATAAGAAAACGTAACAACAGTCAGTCAACCGGTACATGTATATACCAGTAATAATGATAATAATAATAGGTGTAGTTAAAGCTGTCAGGAGAGTAAGACTGAAGAGAATGTAAAGAAGTAAAACGACCAGTTTAATTGTCTACCTTTGAATGGTGCATGCGATTTTAAGGGGATAGGCCATTTGGATGCAGTCCTTGTGTCGCTGCATGGTTGTCCAGCCTTCGCTTAAAGGCGTCCACAGATGGTGCCATAGCTACATCTGCCGGTAAGGAATTCCAGGGACAGCAAACCCGCAGGGAAAAGAAGTGGGAGCGCACCCGGGTTGTTGCCCTCTGATGAGCTATCCTTCTAGGATTTCCACGAGGGAGCCTATATCTACTCAATGGCAGAACACCTTTGTTTGGGTGATTCTGATCATTTGTTATTTTGTAGGCAGTAATTAAATCCCCCCTAAGGCGATGGTAACTGAGTGTGAATAGGCTTAATTTCTTCAGCCTTTCATCATATGGTTTATTTCGGAGACCAACCACTCCTTTTGTTGCCCGTCGCTGGGCTCTTTCCAAGAGGTTGGCGTCTCTTTTAAGCAGTGGGGGTGCAATGATATTATGCACTTCAAGATGCGGTCTGACGTATGTTTTATACAACCTTAGAAAGAGCTCAGGAGTGAGTGCACCTAATTGTCTATGTGTAAAGTGTATGACCGCATATGCCCTCGCTACATCCCCCATGTAATTTACGCTTGTGTCCATTTTCTCCGTTAGAACTAGACCTAAGTCACGTTCCGACGTTGAGCAGGACAAGCTTTCATTGCACAGGGTGTAACTTGCATTCGACGTCGTTCGCTGATTGGTAGTTATTGGTGTCTAAAGTTTAACTTGGCCCTGGCATAAAACGTGAAAGATAGAAGTTCCATCACGACCATGGTTATTTCTGGCTAATTATGAACGTGAAATACACTTACCAAGTGTGAATATAAATGGCAATGGATAGAGGCACACACGACATTATGGAGAGGCTGAGCACTTCAAGGTCACTTGTGTATATTGTGATTGGTGTATTCACCTTTGCATAAACGCTGCGGCTAATACGTAGCATACGTTACTGAGGCAGGCTTTGAAATGATAATAATAAAAATCGCATAAACATTACATTTTTCAGCTTAATGGGACAAGTTGACATACGTAAAATTTTACAGATGTGTCATGCATTGGATCCAATAACAAAAAGAATATTATTCCGTAACATAATCAAAGAGGTATAAAATTTGAAGGTTTAGTCCTTTTTCAGCTGATTGTAACGGACGGATAGGAGAGGCAGTTGTGTAATATATACATTCTGCAAAAGGCAAACTGTGAAAGATAAATCGGAAGTTCTGTAATCCTTAAAATGTGTCATAGAATATATGTACCAATCTTACCAATTATACTATTGTTCCCTCCCTTGTTGACATATTCATTGTGGCTAAGATAAGGAACTGTTCACCTAAGGTAAGATTAATCCACTTGATATGTATACATCCCTAGATATTTCTCAGTGCGGCCGGAGGCGGTCGAAGGAATACAGTCTCGATCATTGCACGGAAAAATCACAACCAGTTTCTTCTGAAGGATCGGGTGGTGCTGGAAGCTGTAAAGATGGGTCGTGTCACTATCATGTGAGGGAAACTGATCCACATATTGTGAATAAAACGATTAGTTGACTTTAATTTGACTATGATGTAGCCACAAAAAATCTACAACTGTAATTTCTTCACTGAAATGTTACAAACCCTTTTTAATTTGAAAATGTACTGCTTAACCGTTGTTCTTTTGTAAATATATGCATTTATGTCGACTACTTGTACCTCTCTCATTTATCATTTCGAGGGCATTGCATAGTTAACGAAATTGATAGGCAACGTAATAATACTTATGTGAATTGCATCATAGTCGTAAGCCGTTATTATTCCCTCAGTGCGTCATCAAGCCTCGCATGAAATGTTTCAGTTACATTTAATCCGGTTGCGCATAGTATAAGTATGCATTAGTGTTGAGAAGAAAAGATCGTCAAACATGTGTTTGTATTGTTTGCAGGACGACTACGGTCATCGAAAATAACTTATTATAGATATATCCTATTTAAGATAATTATCCTAGTATTCTTATACTGCGCATATTATCATTCTTTCGAAGTAAATCATTATGCATTCCAAAAATAGCTATATCACTATTCCTTCGACAAGCAAAACGAAGTAATAATACAAGAATACAGTGAAAACTTTTAAGAAATATTTATTTTAATGAATAATTTCATAATATCACAACGATTCCAACGTTAACACGAAAATTCTTCGATCACACTTCATCAAAGCTTGCAAATCAAGTGGACCATTGCGTAAATTACAATTGTAACCTGAAAACCAACGACCGCGATACTTCTGTTAGCGAATAATTACCAATACAAAATTGCTAAAAAGCAAAGGACATCTCAGTAAAAACTTTGTTTCTTCTGTGTTATGTTCCGAATAAATCAACTAACACTCCTTTATAGCTGTAAACTCTTCTGACTGTTATCAAGTTTTAAGAACTCAGTGATTCAAAGCACCACCTAGGAATTTCGCAAAATATACTTCATTTACCTAATTTATTTCATCTTTCTTAACGTAATCAACAATTTACAAGGAACTTTAACATTCCACATGCAAAGAAACAACGAAATTTGATGAAAAATACGTGTTCACTCAAACTGCTTAAAAACGTCCACTTTCCACCATTTTTCTAAGTTTTTTCGTTAAAATATGGTATTTCTAACGCATTTCAGTTGAAAACAACGTAGAACAACCCAAACACAACATCGCTATAACACATAACGACAACCCGTGTGTGCCCCTATCCATTGCCAAAGACATCTTACTTCAGTGAATTGAAATAGCCCCGTCACAACCCACTCATTCTTTGTACCACCTATATGATACAAACAAAAATGTCTTGACTAAATTTGTAGGGAACTTTAGGTCTATCTTTGGGGATGATAACGTGGTATACAGCGTCCATGGCTTACTCCGCTTATGTGAGGAGGTACGACACACCATGGACCATTAAACAGACAGTTACTCTCGCTTCCCATTTCAGTTGAACATACATTTTCTGCAGGGTCTAGTCACACGTCCCAATTACCCTACAGTCAAAATAGAGAAATATCTAGGGGAAAGATGCTTGGTGAGAGCTGACTCGGAGACGATTACCAGTGCTTCTGTAAGCGTGACCAAGCAAACCACTACTTTCTCCGGCCTCCGACTAAGGTCATTCCCCCCTCCACGTGACAGTTGCTTTCTGGTGGGGTTATTTGTGAAATCATAAGCGGAAATCAGTACAGTTTTCGTGCCTAGGAGAAGGCCAAGGCTCTTCTTCAGCAACCACTGGATTCTAGGGATATTGGAATCTTTCAGATAGACAACACGGAGGGTGAAACACGTATTCATAGGTTCAGGGAAATTTAAGCAAAGTACACTAACTCAATTCTTGTGCGTCATTACGCTATTATTCCCATTTCACACACCTCAAAATTATCGTAACTTTATGACTACTAATGAGTTTACATGCAGCCACAGTGAACCGAGACTAAGAATACGATCAAATGGCGAGTTTCATTTTGTTTTCGGTCTCAATAATTAATCCTAATGTGCAAAAATTATTTATTTAAACGCAAAAAACTTGGTACAGAATGGCACCAAGAAGATGCCCCACACAATAATAATAAAACAACATAGAATAAAAGTCAAAAATAAATATAAGTGGAGAACGGATAAAGAACTTCATCTGGAAGGAAAAGTCATACTTCCAAACAAGTTCAAACGGTATTCATCAACTACCACTTGGAAAGAAAGAAGGAAATCACAACACGTTCGTCATTGATTACGATTCTTTGTCATATCCGATAGCGTTTCGAGCCATCGATTCGAACTATCTCGTGGACCCCAACCAGGGAGTCGTGGCGCACCAACCGATGCTAGTCTAGTACAAATATCTTTCATCCTACGACGCCACTTCATGGACTGATCACCCATCCGCTTTTCCCATCCCGTCCCAGGGCTAGCGAACAGAGACCTGTACGGAAGCCTCCAGGATGACATTCGCAACACATGTCCAAGCCACCGAAGTCGCTGTTTCCAGATGACGACACTCAAGGAATGGTGATCTCCACTGTACTTAAACACACGCCGCCGAACCTCAGAATTACTCACGCGATGATGCCATCGAACACAAGAAATCCTGCGGAGAAAACGATGTTCGAAAACGCAGGGCCGCCGCACATCCTCAGCCTGGAGAGGCCAGAATTCACAGGCGTAGAGCAAGACAACCCACACCGAAGCATTGTATACCCGAATTTTGACAGCCAGGCTAACGTTACGG